CCCTTGCTACCAGCCTATTAGCTTCCCATATAATGTCTTCGTCCCCTACATTAATTATTTTTAGAAAAGGATGATTTAATTTAATAATAGTCTCTGGAATAAAATATGACATATTCCCTAATTCGAAATACACTGCATGAGTAAGACACGTAAGCTCTGGATCAGTATTGTTGTTACATTCTATTACCGTCTCAACAAATGCGTGACTGCGCTTAGGAATTTTAACCTTATTTTTTTAAATATACGGGAAATTTTGTAATCATTTCATCTTGAGTCAGCTGAAATGATGGTAACACTTCCATAACATTGCTAGAAGGAACAAAATTCGCAGAGGTAGCCGTAGTAACTAAGCTAATGTTATCCTGATTTATCATTGTTTGTCCAATTATTAAGTCTATGTCAGCTATACTGCAATTTGTTACTTCCACATTACCTTTCAATCCTATACCATCAATCAATACCATAATTTCGCATCTGCCTAGTGATCGTAAACAACTTCCCCCAAATCCTTTCATTACTGTGGCTGACGGCTGAATTTTAAGTTGTAAGTTCTTCGCGGCACTAATTGTGATAATATTAAGCTTACTGCCAGTATCAATATAAGCAATTAATTTTATCCCATTTACAACCACTATGCGCTTGTAAATATCTAAATAAATATCATAAGTGATATGTAATATATCGCTAACCTGTTGTACTTGTTGACCTGAAGAACCCGGAGCGAACCAGCAGGATGCCGTTGTGTGTCCAACACGGCGACAAGTCTCACAGCGCTGCTGGAACCTGCAGTCCCGTGCCTCGTGCCCGCCGCGACGACACACGAAGCACACCCTCGGAGCAAGCTGTGTCGTTGTTGCAGACGAAGAATTTGCGTTTCCTCTCTTCCATATAGTCTTGCGTGATGTATAAGCTGCATCCACCCGTTTGAAATTTTCTAGCGAAGACAGATATCCAAAATACAGTTGTTCAGGCGTTTCACACTTATAGGCCTTTGCATTATTTCGTAGCTCTGCCGGTAGTCCTCGAATAATGCATGAAATGGCGTCTACTCCGTCGATTTTGCACTTTCTAAGTAATGACAATTTATCGTGGTAATATTTTGTCATTGCTTCGTTATCCGCTTTTGATCTGGATAACATATGTTCTAACTTGTCAACAAAGTCTGTAGATCGAGGGAACGCCGTTTGCAACGCTGTTTTCCACTGCTTCCAAGTCAGATTGTAATCTTCTAAATCTTCATACCAATCCCTCGCAGATCCACGCAGGCGTAATTGCATAATAAACTGCCGATCCTTACTGTTCCAACCATAAATATCACCAAGTTGATCAATCTTATGTAACCACCCAATCACGTTGTTGTTTTGTTCTTCTGGTCGGTATTTAGGTATTAATTCTGCGTCGGTTGGGGTGACGCGGCGTTTTTTATAAGATGTTCGAGAGCTTCTATGTAGACTGGATGAAAGAAAAAAATCTGTATTTTCTTCTTGTTCTTGACTGCCAGCTTCTATTCCATCTTCAGTGCTGATGGATTCCGAGTCGCTGTGTTTTCTTTTTCGGAGCCCCAGTCCATTAATGTATGGGCCAGACATTTTGATTCCTTATCCCACTTCTGAAGTGTAAATAGATGTGGGTCAGAGTGGCGAAATAATCACGCGGGTCTTGGTTTTTCACAAGTGTTTATTCGGGTAGAATTACCCCGTAACAAAACGAATAGTCGAATGTCCAATCTTCACCGAGTCACAACCTTTTACATGTATTCGAAAAAAAAAACCCCCACCGTTAAAAGCATTGACAATCAAAAATTAGTAACTACCATCAACTTACAAGATCTTTTCCACAGACTATAACATTTTAATGTTTAATGAAATATTAACCACGGAAATAAATTTATGGAGCCTTATTTAATATTTGTAATTGTTGGCGGAAGTTCCATGGACGGAGTATGATGTCCCACCGGAAGCTGTCTTTAACAAAAGATTACGAAAAATAAAAAGTAAGTAATAAGTTATCTGTAATATCGGAAAATTGTGGGAATCTGTCAGTCCTGTTTTCTATAGGACTTTTGTTATTTAAAAGAATAAAATATGTACATTTTTCAGAAGGGGCGTTAAAGGAAAAATGTTGCAGCAATTGAGGAAGTAAGTCTCAAAATACAACATAACCTGTAAAAATAATCAGGAAACATATTTACCTCATTAGTAACAAGATGTTTTCCTGTGACTTTGCCCTCGTAAATTAAAGTCAATGTTAAAGCTTTCCTTTAACATTGACGTTAAAGAGTGAACTTTTAAAATCGGCTCTGTAGTTTCGGAGTCTATTTAATGCAAATAAACAATCAGGTAATCAAATCTTTCCTATTTATTATATTGATATGGATTTAAAGAATAAAAATACCTACATTATTTCAAGTTTGAAACAATTGTACAAACAATACTTATCAGTTAACTTCCCCTATACAATATATTTCAAAACAATAGATTTCTTTGTAATAGTTTTCCTCTAACCTGCATCATTCAATGCTAAGTCTGTATATCAGCTGACTTATGGTTCTGCGAAATAATCAGGATACGGTGAAGTCTGTTGAGTCATTCCTCTGTTGAGTTCATTGAAAGTATTTAATACGTCACGTACACATGGTGAACGTCACGGAGGTGCGTGTGCGTGACTGCAGACACGTGTGCGCGAGCGCCGGCGATGCATCGGCAATGTGGTGCAATTCGAGGTGCACTTAAAAATACCGTTACAGGCCTTATCTTTTATTTAAGAGGAGGCGTAAAGCGAAGCCTGTCCCTGTTTGCTGTATGACGGCTAAATTAAGATAGATATGGACCGAGGATGGCAAATTGAGCGTCAAAAACTATTGAATCTTTAATAAGTGTCGCTTAATTCCATCGACTAAAAAGTGACTCTTTATCATTCTTTATAAAATAATGTATAAGCGTATTATATAGATAGAGAAATGGAAAAAATGTGAATTATTATGGTACCAATGTGTTTCTATGAAAAAACTTTTTATATATTCACATCATGGTTGGGTTATGACATTATGAAATAGGTATGACGTAATTTTTTATTACAGCTTCGACCTACCCAATGAAAAATAATACTTATCTGCGTGATCTCTACTTTTCAACAGAACGATTTCTCATTTTCATTAGATAATTATTCTAAATCGTGTATTGTTACTTTTGAAACAAAGTAACGTTTAAATTTTTAAAATATTAGTTTAATATTTACATCAGTAAAGCCAAGAAAACTAAGATATTTGTTCGGTTATTTTATCAATATTTGTAATCTACGGATAGGTCAATTTATTTTGCCGATATTACTTTGTACAAAAGTAGTTTAAAGTTAGTGATTATGAGTGTACCTTGTGTGTCCTCTTAAAAAACCGGACTGATCACACGACTTCGCTCTAAAGTTACGTCAAAATACATTTTATTTCTTTCGTCAAAGTACCTACCTAATAAACGAAAAAAAACGTTACATCATGCTGTTGAGTATTATACAGAAAGCTGCTTTGTTTATTAAAAATCACTGGAGTTCCAGGAAGCTTATGAAAAAAATTGTATAATAGCGAAGTTATAATCTAAGGTCTCTCTCTCTCTCTTCGCATTTACTCCTCACTGAGGGTCGTGACTCCTACGTTGAATCACTTTCTTTCTAACTACCTATATATTCTTCCACTTCTTTCGGTATTTTGCTTCGTGGAGCGCCTTGTGGAGTCTAGTATCCAAGGATGACCTTATTTGGTCTGATCATCTTAATGTGCTGCGGCTCTTGGTCGTTTACCGTCAACCGTCAAAAAATCTCCGATTCTGTATACAGATGGTGCATAGTTTGATTTCTATATCGAGTTCACGCAAAATAGACACATTGGTACGGTAAAAGTCCAAGTTTAGAAATGGCGCTTTTCGTTTTCACAGGAACCCGTGTTACTGATGTTGACGCCCAGGTACATAAAATAGTCAACGATACTTATATGCTCCAGCTTGTTAGCACGGTTTATTACCATTAGTTTGCTTAGCTAGGTTGATTTCAAGCCCCAGCTGCTGACTCATAAATATTAATAATCTAAGGTAGAATAGTAAAAATTCAGCCAGGTTTTCTGCTCAAACATTTCTTACTTTTTTGATTTCATCCTTGGTAGGTACGGGTGCGTTTATGTAGATTAGTAAAATTCCTGAAGTAGTCCAATAGCTTGATAGGAATTTTGTTTATTTGTTTTATATGTTTTTGGATAATTTTTAATTAGAAATCTTTATATCTAAATAACCTAATCTAACCAGCAAGCATTAAGAATGCTACAATATTTTATTTGCTAAAAATATGGTAAACGCCATCATTTAATAAAGGTTTAGAATGTATGTTATGTTATTTAATAATTATTTCCTTTCCTTTTTCCCTAGGAAACACGCCTCGAGCAAGAAGTTTATAATACTATAAACCTTTTGACCTCAAGTGTCTGTGGTATGTGGCCTTTGATGACTTTATTTCGTCTTCTTTTATATTTAGGTAATGGTATGTTTTGCACATTTCTGCCCAAGAAGCTTATTCCTTCAATGCTATGGTGCTAATGCCACTTTTGTGGCCTTTCTATAACTTTAAATTTTGAGATAACAGTAGATACTCTTGACACTTAACTCTTCTTCTTCTTCTTTTATTAATGGCTTATCTGCGCATTTCACACAATTCTGCCAATGTCAAGTGAATAAATTTATTTCTACATGTAAAATGAAAATGAAACGAATGAAAGATGGCGATGATCAATCGACACTTAACTCTAAAATCCTTCCTCTTTACTCAGAACTTTAAACAATATATATATATATATATATATATATATATATATATATATATATACTCTTTGGATTATGTAATCTTTGGTAAATAAGTAATTTAAATACTTTATTCTTTGAAGTTATCTCGCAATCCCATGGCAATCTGTACCAGCGTTTCTTGATTCAGTTAAATGGAACTTCCTTATCTTGTGAACAATCATGAGTACCTGGAGGATGGCGGGATTGAAGTAAGTTACGGCATTTTGTTTTTAAATATGTCGGGAATAAATCACTATATTGGTTATACTTTGGTGTGATTGATTGGTATACTTTGATATTATGTTGGTACCTTTATCTTGAGTATATTCAATAACTATTAGATAAGTATAAAATTTGTAGAAGTTACACAAAAAGTACATTTCATCTTGCTGTTGGATACAGATGAGATGCTTTCATAGGGCACTGCCAATCTGTAATCTGCTATTATAAAGATAGTAAATGTCGTCAATAATATATTATGTAAATATTTTAAGTTTATTTCCGTTCTCTCTATCTTAGTTACGTAAACTACTCCAATATCGCTGCTCGCACGCTAAGGAAGTCTTTAAAAGCCAATTTGCGGGAAGAAGCAAGTAAGCGCGACCAGTCCGCCATTCGTTACTTCTATTGGGTCAAAGGAGAAATGCTGCGTAAGTAGCCTATTTTTATTATCAACAAATGAACTGCAGAGATAGGTAATCCGGTTTTACTTAGGACGGGATCACAGTTGGTTGTTCGACCGAATTCGACTTATGGTAGGACAACCAACCGGCCAAACGTTCGAGTGTAAATAAATGGTAATCAAGGTTGCGCTCTATATCTGCCTTCCTTTTAGGCGGCGGCTAGACTTGTACTTTCGATAGCATATTCCAGAATCAGATAAATGAAATTGACTTTATAATTTTCACTGATGGTAGGTAGAGGTAATCAGTTAATTACTTCCCTCAGAGGCAATACATATCCATATATTTCTACTAGCAATATATTGCCATTTAAAGTTTTTTTTTTTAAAACGTAAATTGTGATACAAGGTTAATTGTTTGCGTTAATGAGGGAAGGAAACCCTTCCTCTGAAAGCGTCGGGCACTTTTCAGGGGATGAACAACTACCACAAGGAATAGCACCAAGAGAGGGTGAATCCAAAGAAAGGAAGGAGGCAGAAGAGTTGGAAAGTTAGATACGGGCTGTTATGTAAATGGTACATCTAGTGCACGTTATAATTATTTGTAAGGGTGTTTGAATAGTATAGTACAGCGTTTCTTAACCTGTGGTTCGTGGGCTCGCGAGTATTACAAGCCCGGAAATATCACTCTACAGATACTACATCAACTCAAATATTTTAGGATATTTTTTCATAGTACAAATAAATGTTTTTTTTTTTTAATAAGAGCCTCTTGATCTTTTGCTTGCTGTTTTAGGGGTGCGCTGTAAAGGTTAGGAAATACTGGTACAGTAGAACTATTTGGATATATATTGCTCCTGGTGGAATTACTTCGGGGGATATACGAATACTTATGTTAACAACATGAATAATTTTTAATAAAATGAAAAAAAAAACATACGTTCTATCTCTGCTATTTTACTTATCATTAAAAAAATATAAAAACGAAGTTTAAATAGTTTGATCCTAAAAGTTTTTAGAATTTAATCGCCATACTTTTATAAATATCTGCAAATAAAAATATTCTTGTTTAAATAAAATGTTCGAATATCTTCTAACGATCAAGTGTAATCGCAAGACTGCAGTTAATTCACTTGTGCTAGAAATGCAGGGCGAACTAGTTAATTAAATATTCGAGCTGTATGATTAATATTCAAGTACACGACTATACTTACTACAATAGAGGTTATAATTATTGCACTATTGTTGTGCAAGCAATATAAATAGTAGAATCCAGAAACAAACTCAGTGTGATCAGTATCCTTTTTAAAAAATAGGTACCCGTCATCGTTAAGGTTGAGATTATTTTATGTCTTTATTTTTTCGGAACATTTATACTTTTTTTCTGAAATTACGACGGCTGCAACATTTGAAAAAATTAAGTTTATTTATCAGTTTGGTTTTATTATTTTCTGTGAATGTGATATCACCAGTAGGTGATATTAAATTGTAGATACTAAGTAATAAAATAATAAAATCAGTATTGTTGTACAGTTAATGTATTTTGTGAAGAGAAAACAAAAGCAAGTAAAAAATATGAATGCTGCGTCAAATTGATTTACTCTTTATACCATAGACCAGACACCATCCAACCTAGGATCTAACACTCCTCCTTAAATCAACTAACGCGCAACTACTCGTATTAATTTCATCAACCTCTTTCATGCACACAAACATTCCTCACATCAGAAAAACAAACTTACTTTAAATTCACACTACATACGCAGAACATATGTTTAGATTTAGGTAAGCCTTTAGTTAAAAAATCGGCTGGCATATGTTCACCTTTCAGAAAGAACAACTGAATAATACCTTTTTCTAAGATATCATTCACAAAACGAATTCTGACGTCAACGTGTTTAATACGTGCATGGTAATGACTTGCGTTTGCAATAGCAATTGCTGATTGAGTATCACAGTGGATTGGTATGGGAGAACACTCAGATGAATTCAATTCCTCCACCAATCTCTTCAAGTACACCGCTTCTCTTGTTGCACTTGACAACGAATATATTCCGCTTCGGCACTTGAGAGAGCTACAACTCTTTGTGCTTTCCCAACTTATTGCGGAATTTGCATATTTGAAGATATACCCTGAATACGACTTCCTATCGACAAGATCACCCCCGTGGTCAGCATCAACATAGCCTTCTATACCCTTTTGTGTTTTGGTAAATGTTAACCCAAAATGTTTTGTACCGCTTAGGTACCTAAGTACACGTTTTGCTGCTTGATAATGTTCTTCTGTGAAGCAATTGTTGAACTGGCTTAAATTACTTACAGCATAAGAAATATCCACTCTTGTAGATACTGCTAGAAACATTAACGAACCAATTAGTTCCTGATAAGGAACATTCGGTGACACATGATTTTCACTTGATGGTTTCGTTAATCTTTGGCCAGTAACTAAGGGAGTGGCTACTGGCTTACAGTCTTGCATTCCCCATTTCTTTAATAATTTCTCCACGTATTCTTGTTGATCTAATTTGAAGCCATTATCAGCTTGATGTAACCTCATACTTAATATCAAAGCAGCTTTTCCTAAATCTCTCATCTCAAAGAGGTTCATCAGCTGTTTCTTAAGTTGCAACATCTCAGCTTTGTTATTCCACAAAATTAACAAATCGTCAACATAAACAGCAATAATAATCAATCTATGATTTGAACTTCTTATATAAATACAGGGTTCGTTCTCTAACGAAACAAACTTAATGTGTTTCAAGGCAATGTCTAGTTTTTTGTTCCACTGTCTCGGTGCCTGTTTCAAACCATACAGTGATTTCTGAAGTAAACAGACATACCCTTCTTTATATTCTAAGCCTTCTGGTTGCTTCATATAGATTTTTTCTTCTAAATCACCATTTAGAAATGCGGTCTTAACATCCATATGATCGATGTTCAGATTTTTCTCAGCACTTAATCCTAGTAACAATCTTAAAGAACTATACCTAACTACGGGCGAATATGTATTCGTAAAATCGATTCCTTCTCTCTGTCGCAATCCTCGAGCTACAAGCCTCACTTTATAACGTATTCTTTCACTACCATTCCCCGCCTCCTTTTTGATTCTCAGTACCCACTTAGAATGAATAATGTTAGCATTCTCTGGAGTTTTTACTAGAATCCACGTTTTTTTTTTAAAGAGTTTAATTCATCGTTAATAGCTTCTTTCCATTTTTTTTCTATCAGGACCAGACAAAGCTTCCCGAACTGACTTTGGTTCATCCATTTCAGTATAAGCCTCAGCTTGTTAGAGAACGTAGTCATCAAAACTTTTTAACTTCCTCTCTCTTTTAGGATATCTGTATTCCACGATACCCTCAAATCTCTCCTCTTCGACTTCTTCGGTAGAAGTATCTTTAGGAAGATCTTGCGTTACTAACTCCTCCTGCAATCCATCTGCACAAGGATAATCCATCTGCTCCTGGGTCTGAACTTCATTCTATATATATCAGCAATTTGTTCAACAGGTGACACCTCCATGTCCTGCATAGAAATTGTTTTCTCATTAGAACTCTGCAAAGGGACAGCTTCCTCAACAATCTTATTTTGTGCAGTACTATTATGAGAACAGTTTTGGTTCTCAAAGAAGACCACGTCTCTCGCTATGTAAAGCCTTTTCGTAACAGGATCTATTAGCCTGTATCCCTTTGACTGTTCACTATAACCAGTCAAGATCAATTCCTTACTCTTAGGATCGAACTTCTTCTTCTTTTGATCTGGGATATGCATGAATGCTCTACATCCAAAAATTCTGATTCTGCTTAGATCAATCTTTTGTCCTGACCAAGCCTCTTCAGGCGTCGCACCTTTAACAGCTAATGTAGGCGATCTATTCTTTAGATAGACAGCAGTATTCACTGCTTCAGCCCACCACCTCTGGGACAGGCCAGCATCTTGTAACATACTCCTAGCTTTCTCATTGATCGTACGGTTTGCACGCTCAGCAACACCATTTTGCTCAGGCGTATAGTTTACTGTGAACTGATGAATAATTCCGTGACTCTTCACAAATTCTTTCATCTTGCTATTCACATATTCAGTTCCATTGTCTGTCCTTAATTTCTTCAACTTCTTTCCAGTTTGTGTCTCCGCCATATTTTTAAAATTTCGTATACATTCAAACACTTCATCTTTCTTTTTCAGTAAATATACGAAAGTTTTTCTCGTATAGTCATCTATTAGCGTAAGAAAATATCTACATCCTGTAAAAGACGCTTCTGGCATAGGACCACAAACATCTGAATGTACCAACTCAAGTACATCTGTTGCTCTCGTTGAAGAATTCCTATAAGGCTGTTTAGTTTGCTTACCCATTAGACATGGAACGCAGTCAAGTTTGTCTAGTTTGTCAGAAAAACTTATCCCAGCTGCCAATTTATCTCTAAGTAGTCGCAGGTTCTTAACTCCTAAGTGTGCCATCCTCCGATGCCACAGGCGCAAATCATCAGTGACGTCGTTGTTCTCTGAAGTAGCATAAGCTCTGCAATCGTAATGTGAATTGTTAGTAAGTTTGTATACACCATTCACAGAAAAACATTCACCCATAAGACCACTCTTCGTCATAAGTGAATTTTTAAATATTTTACAACCTTCATTCGAAAACAATACAGTACGACCTCTTTTCACTAATGTATCTACGCTCATTAAATTTGCTTTCAAACCTGGGACATACAAAACTCCAATCACTTTCATATCATCTTTAATTACATCACCTGTTCCTTCACCGTACACCCGTTCACCGTTCGCACAAACAATCTCTACCCTTTCATGCGGAATATAGTTTTTTAACCAATCTCTTCGATTTGTCATATGTTTCGAAGCTCCCGAATCGAGAATCCACGTATCGCTATGGCTGCAACCTCCTGTTGATAGTGCAGACAAATAACACTATTCTTATTTTTATTTGGATTCTTCGGACATTCCTTGGCCTTGTGACAGCCATTACATATGAAACACTTCAGTTTCTTTTGAGTATATCGGTTCATTGATTTTCCTCCTTTGTTGGAGTACAACGCTATATCACCAGGTGCATGTGAACTCGAACTATTTCTATGATCATCTATTTGCAAGAGTTTGGTCTTGACATAATCTGACGTTAAAGTGATATTAGAATTCTCAATTGCTAGCTTCATAGGCTCAAATTCTGGAGTTAGACCTTGTAGCATCAGTGCTGCTAGCATCTCATCATCTACTTCTTTGCCTATGTCTCTCAGACATTGCGCAGCTGTCATCACCTCTGTGACGTAATCACGGATATATCGAAACTGATCTAATCTGAGGCTAACTAGCTTCCCAAGCAGTCTACATCTATTATTTACGCCGTTATCTTCAAAGGCAGTTCTTAAGGCAGTCCAAGCTTCGGTTGATGTCTTCGATTGTCTAACGTGTATTAAACATTCAGGTTTAATCATAAGACATATCTTTGCACGGGCCTTTTGATCGCGTCTCTTATTTACTGCATCATTAGGATTACTAGTACCTTCGGTTACGACGTCCCACAGATCTTCGTGTAT